AAGCAAATAATCTTTTTACTGAAATCTCCACGACCACGATAACCATCTCCATCGGCTCTAACAAAATTGCCAATCACGAGTGATCTTTGTTTACTTGCCACGCTTTGAAAGAGGGGGGACTTCGTGTGTCCTTTCCCAGCAGATCTCACGCCGGATGTTGGGTTTCGTGACAAAAATGTGTCCGTGCGTTGCTAGGGGGCAAGGGGAGGTCAGCGAGGGAATTTTGGGGAACGGTCACTTCCGGTGAAGGAGTGAGTGAGTGAGTGAGGGACTTGAAGTGGGGTTCACGGGGGAACAGCCGTATTCACATAGTTGTTTCTGATTGTTGAGGGGTTGATGAGTGGGATGAGGGGGATTTCATTTGTTTTGGCTTGGTTTGGCTTGGTTTGGTTCGGTGTGTTCTGTTTTGTTTTGTTTGATTTGTTTGTTGTGGGTTTTTGTTAGTCAAAGGGAGGGGAGTGGTTACAGAAGTGATGCAGTCTGTATTTATCAAAGTTATGTGTGTGATGATTTTTTAATTGAATTTTTTAAAGTGCTTTTCGACCCTCGCAACTGCATAAGGACATATTAATATAATTATAAGCCCGGGTGACACGTTAAACATTTTCAGTTTGTAGGAAATTTTGAGTTTTTTCCAGTGTGGCGGCCAAAATCTACTCTTATCGATTTTGGACCAAAAAGGGATCTTTAACGTGCGAGATCCTTTTCCCTTATCCGTGAAAGCTGGGTGTTAAATCTTACCTACAGCAAGATCAGAGGTGAGGATGAAAAACTGTAATAAGAAGGGGTCAAGGAGTAACAGTAGAACGGCTGCAGAAAGAGTCTGGAGCCCAGAGTGGGGGAAAAGGAGGAGAGTGGGTGGGGGCAGAAAGCGAGGACGAAAGCTCACGGTATAACATTGTTAGAGAGCAGGTACAGGGTGAAAGCAAAAAAATTTGAGAAAAAAAACTTTCCTCTGCTGTCTGGATTCGAACCTGGGACCTATTGAATTTGAGGCAAACGCCGTAACCTCTCACCTCTCGACCACGAGAGCCCCCCCCCCCCCCCCCCCCCCCCCACTCCCATGCAGATTTCGTTGCTACACATGACACAGAGACGAACGGTCAACGTTTTCCCCATTATGTGCTCCCTGCCGATATCCCTGCTCGTAGGGTTACCCATTAGTTAATTGCAGCCCTTGTCCCTGAACCTATTTCTGTGATAATGTGGAAACAGAATCCCTACTGCGTACACACATCAACTCGGTCGACTCGTTCAGATTACTGGTAGCTAAATAGTGTACCTTTCTCGGGTAGCGTACCCACCGATAGGTCAAGGCATTGTTGTTGCATAACCGAAGGAACTAGTTTCGTTTGGTTGGTATCATGTTTAACTGCAAGGCTGACTACCCTCTTTCAGATTCCCGACAAGGTGTCCTTGAACTTTGGTTATGAGTATTAGGGGAGTTTTGGAGGTTTCCCACCCGTCTGACTCGGTACCCTGGAAGACCGACCTTATCTCTTTCAGAAGGCACATCGTCACGCTCATAAGATAAATGCCTGAGCACTTTCTTATCATTCTGAGAAAATATTGAGAAAAAAACTTTTCTTTTCGAACAATTTGTCGCTTTTAAGCGCAAGGGTGCTATAGCGATAAAGGCTGTTTAGAGAAAATTGAAGTTAAAGTTTTTGGATCCGTATTCAGTCCCTTTAAAAGACAAGGAGAGTTTTTCTTTAACCAAACAAGTGTCCACTCAAATAAAACCATTATAGGTTAGGCAAAGCCCACATTTGGTTTAGTCAATATTTCTGGAAATCCCCAGAATCAGAGTTAGCTCGCTTGTCCTTAAAAGCTACCAACTGACTCTGCGAAAGGCTTGAACTTTGATCGACTCAATTGGTTTTATATTTGGATTATTCTTTTCCTCAAGTGAGCTACAATATTGCAAAGATGGCTCTGCTCTTTTTTTCAGTACCGAAAACTCCAAACCGGCCAAAAAGTGACTTGAGCAGTTATCTTATGAGCGTAACGACATTCTACATGTAGTCTTTCCCCGGGGGCTCTCGTGGCTTAGAGATTAAGGTGTTGGCCTCTCATGCAAAGGACTGGGGTTCGATTCCGGGTAGCGATCGAAAAATTTTCTTCTCTAAAATTGTCTCATTTCACCTACTTTCCTGCTCTCTAGCAATGTTCTGTCGTCTGATTTCGTCTCTTCTTTCTGCCCCCACCTCCTCACCTCCTTTGGACCCTCCTCTGGGTTCCTGATTCCTTCTGCAGCCTTTCTGCTACTACTCCTTGGATCCTTCTTACTGCTGTTTTTCAGTCACACCCTTGATCTTCTGGTAGGAAAGATCTACACTTAGCCTTCTCGGACAAGGGCGAAAAAGGCGGGGGGCCCGTGTGCAAGTTGCGAACGCTGAAGATGCTTTGGTGGTATAAAATCGATATGATAGGCTTCGGCCGTTACCCGATCAAAATTCAAAACTTGCTACCGACTAAAAAAGTTAAATGTGGCCGGCGCGCTTACTGATCGTATGCAGTTGTGAGCAAGGTGAAACACTTACCAAAAAAAAAGTATTTCCCTTGCACTTGAATACGCACTGATATGCTCAGTTCAAGCTTTATACCACCTAAGCTATTTGTGCAGAAATGTTGACCATGTGTGTCTATAGAGCATTACGAAAATAGTTTAATAGAGGGAATGGGGACCGATGCTTAAAGCGTGATACTGGTAGGTTATACTTCCTTTCTCGTATTTTGTTATTTCTGTTTGGCTTGCTTTGGGGCTGGGGGGGGGGGGGATAATAGAGGGTAGCCTACTACTGGTAGGTCCTACCTCTTTACTTTTCCTCTGTTATTTCTGTCTGTCTGTTCTACTTTTTCCTAGCACTAAATCACCGTAATTGTGTCGATGTAATTTTCATTACTCAAACAAAACAAACAGGACTAGACAAACAAAGAGAGTAAAGACCCACCAGACTAAGTTTCTGACTGCTGTGTTTATATTTCGAAAATAAACCCCCCCCCCAAAAAAAAAAAAATCAAAACAAACCAAGACACAGCGAGATCAGGCGATCGTCAATTTGGGGGTTATATGGATTTATTGGTTTCACCTCAAAGCTTATTTACATGACTTGCTTTTTTAGGAAAAATTACCCATCTATCTTGAAGAGAGACCGAGAAATTTGAGATTGAAAGATGTGGGGGTTGCCTGGTGTCAAAGAATTGGCGAGCAAATGGGTGAATTTGGGTGAATCCCAAAGCTGTAGTGCCCTTGAAACCTACAAATTTATATTTTTGTGTCTTTGGTAAACTGTAAAAAAATACAATCCACACATAAATGTGTTTTAATAATAGACATAAAAGGTGCTCCGCCCCAAAAATGTTTTATACAAAAATTCATCAGGCATTAACGTAGCAGTCTCTTAGATTTCAATTTTTTTTAAAGGGAGAGCCTGATTTCTCAGAGATGACACATAAAACTACAACTGTGTTGCCAGCTGTCTGAATGATTGATATAGTATGGATGGGTAGCGTGACGAATTCTTTTCCCAAAAATACCCAATAAATCTGAGGTTCTCTGAGGGTGGTTTTTTGTTGTTGTTTTTTTGTTTGTTTGTTTGTTGTTGTTGTTTGTTTGTTTGTTTGTTTTGGGGGGAAGGGGGGGGGGAGGAGGCGCTACGTGTAAGTCCTGCTTCTTCATTTTCCCTCTGTTGTCTCTGTCTGTTTGTCCTACTTTTTCCTAACACTATATGACTATTATTATTCCCATGTGCTTTTCTTTACTCAAACAAACAAATATTGGAGGTGACCACTGGTGGATCTCCCTTTTCACTTTCCCTCTGTTGTTTTTGTCTGGCTTTCTCCCAGCACAAAATGATCATTATTGTGTACATTTGCTTCTCTTTTCTCGAACAATGTGCTTACCTTCACTCGAACAAACAAACAAACTTTTTTACTTTCCCTTTTTTGTTTCTGTCTGTCTGTCTATCTTACATTTTCCCAAAACTAAACGATCACTACTGTGTGTAGGTGCTTCTCCTTACTCAAACAAAACAAACAACTAAGAAAGATTAGAGAACATCCGTGGTAGGTGCACCTTCTCTACTTTCCCTCAGTTGTTTTTGTCTGCCTGACTTCCTTTTTTTGCTTTCACTTTGTTGTTCCTGTCTGTCTGTCTGTCTGTCTTATACTTATCCCCAGCACTAAATAACAGTTATTATATAGATGTTCTTCTCTTTTCCAAACAAACTCAGACTTTTTGGTCAATCATATTTTTGTTGTTCCTATCTCTCTGTCTTATGCTTTTCTCCAGCACTAAATAACAGTTATTTATCAAAGTGCTTCTCTTTTTTTTCGACGCAGAGGTTCTGGTCAGTTTTATTTTTTTAACTCTCACTTTGTTGTTCCTGTTTTGTCTGTCTTATACTTATCCCGAGCACTAAATAACAGTAGTTATTATATCGATGCTCTTCTCTTTTTCAAATAAACTCAGAATTTCTGGTCAGTCATATTTTTTTAACTCTCGCTTAGTATGTGGTTGGTGGGTGCCCTGATGTGGTTTGCTCCTTTCCTATCAAACACCTATCGTCCTGATCTCTCCTCCTTCTTTTTTATATTTGTTACACTCTTGTAATACATCTAATCTTCGGCACTTATATGACCTTATTATGTTGCACGTGCCGTTAAACTCTTACTAAAACTAAGACTAAACTCTCACTTAATTGTTCCTATCTGTCTGTCTTACTGTTTCTAGGCATCATTTTTGCGTTGGTTTTCTTCTCTTTTCTCAAACAAACAACCTTACTCTCACTTAGTTGTTCATATCTGTCTGTCCGCCTTACTGTTTCTCAGCCCTATTATTGCGTTGATGTTCTTCTTTTTTCTCTAACAAAACAATCACACTCTCACTTAGTTGTTCCTGTCTGTCTGTCAGTCTGTCTGTCTGTCTGTCTGTCGTACTGATTCTCAGCACTATTATTGCGTTGATGTTCTTCTTTTGCCTCAAACAACCACCTCAGAGGTTCTGGCTTGACCTTCCTGGGCAACGTTCCTGTGTGGCCTGGAGGATCCACCACGCCCCCTGCCGGCCAGGACGCCTGTGGCTGGTACAACGAGCGGTGCCAGTCAGATGGTAAGATGTCTTCTGACTCGTTTTGAGAGTTTATACTGATGGCGTTGTTGTTGTTGTTGCTGTTGCTTTTGTTGTTGTTGTTGTTGTTGTTGTTGTTGTTGTCGTTGTTGTTGTTGTTGTCGTTGTTGTTTTTGTTGTTGTTGTTGTTGTTGTTGTTGTCGTCGTTGTCGTCGTCGTCGTCGTTGTTGTTGTTGTTGTTGTTGTTGTTGTTGTTGTTGATGATGTTGTTGTTGTTGTTGTTGTTGTTGTTGTTGTTGTTGTTGTTGTTCAGATGGTGAGTTTTCTTGTTACTTATTTAAGAGTTTATACTGTTGCTGTTGTTGTTGTTTGGATGGTGAGCTTTCTTTTTACAGGTTTGAGTGTGTTTTATTGCTTGTGTCGATGACGTAGCTGTTGTTATTGTTGTTGTTGCTGTTTTTCTTGTTGTTGTTATTGCTGTTGTTGTTGTGGTTATTGTTGTTGTTGTTGTCCTTGTTGTTAGTGTTGTTATTGTTCAGATAGGAGCTTTCTTGTTACTCATTTGAGTGTTTTATTGCTTTTGTTGATAGAGTGCCTGTTAATGTTGTTGCTGTTGTTGTTTTTGTTGTTATTGGTGGTGGTGGTGGTATTGTTGCGCTGTTGGTCTTGGGTGGCCCCATAGATGTACACTATAGTCACTAGATACCGTACGCCCGTCTCTCGCTTTGCTGCGCGATGGCCACATTTGACAGCGGCGTCCGCCATGTTTCGGTGGGCGAGTTGTGTGAAGGTGTTCAAGCTATAGCAATGGGCCAGGCATGTTTTCTCTCCCTCATACGCGAATAGGCGATCGGCTTGGTCCTTGTGAACTTTTTTTTTTTTACGTGGGCGCCGTGGCGTACTATCTAGGTTACTAAATAGCAATAATACAGCGTTCTTTTTACTACTAGATCTACAAACAAATGTATTATTAAATAGATAGAGATAGAGATATAGGCTTAAAAATGGAACCCCCCAAAAAAACGTTATTTCTTCATCAGCACTATATCTACGAAGTGGTTTATTTCTTATTGACTGAATCAAAGCGTAGATCTATAGGGCCTATCGAACTTATAAAAAGAAGTATGAAAAGATGTGGTATCATGGGAACCTCCCAATCACCCCACCCTTTCTCTCCTCCCGAATCTCAATACTCCCCCCCCCCCAAAAAAAAAAAAAACAACCAAAAAAAAAACAGTTTGGCTTTAAATTAAACCAAGATGAGTCATAGAAAAAAATTCAAGTTTTTCTTCCATTAGGTGTAGGAAGGCACTGAAGCTCTCCTTAAAGCATAAAACTTTCCCTAGTGACATTTGAACAGGAAACTGTATTTTTCATTCTTATGTTCACTTTTTTTTTTATTATACATGTACCAAACAAGTAGATCTAGTGTTTCTTTATGTCAGTATTAAACTTTTTTAAAAAGAACTAAAGTAGACAATCTACAGCATTTAAACTAAAGTTCCTTTTATTCCTGTTTTAAGTAAATCTAATTTGGGGCATTAGTAAAACAACTGAGACAGCTCTGGACTCACTAAAGATTTTTAAAAAAGGAAACTTAACGTTGTTTTGTAGGCTGGACAATTGTTTGTCTACACAGTGTAGTGATGACTGATATTATGCTGTGCATATATAGCAAGCTCAGCACTAAACGCAATCTGGCTATGGTTTCCTTTGTCACCAATAAACTTAGATATCTATCCTATACACTACTTCATACATTTTAGACACAAGCCTATCTTTGGCTACTCCCATCCATCATTTTCCCATAGAAATAATTAGGATTGGTGATGCTGTTATATTACTATGTTTTATGTATATATAAATATATTAGTATAATATAAATATAATATATATAAATATAATATATATATAGATCTATTTAAGTCAGTGAGTTAAGTGAGTGAAATTGGTACTTCAGATTAGTAGATCTAGCTTGGATTTTGTGATGTTTAAGTAAGTAATTAAACACAAAGACGAGGCAAAATTGCAGTGGTTACATCTGATATCAATTAACTGAAAGTTAGGCACTGATCAGACCAGACTCTTAATCTCTTCGAATATTTTCTTCAAAACGGAGATCTGGGTCTAGATCTAGATCTAATCTGTCTAAATTCTTATCAATCTTATTCTTACTCTTACCAATGAAATGAAAGAGGGGTTCCTTTGGAGGCTCTGATAGTACACTTTCTGGTCTCGTTTTATTGTAAAGAAAGTCTCTAAGGCTGCAATAATAATAACAACAACAATAATAATAATAATAATAATAATAATAACAATAATAATAACAACAACAACAATAATAATAATAACAATAATAATAACAACAATAGTAATAACAACAACAACAACAATAATAATAATAATAACAATAATAATAATAACAATAATAATAACAACAACAATAATAATAATAACAATATAATAATAATAATGCAGATCATTTCTATAGCGCCCACGAACACAGCTCTATGTGCTTTACATAAATGTATTTTTGGAGCAATATTCACACACACACACACACACACACACACACACACACACACACACACACACACTCACACGCACACATCACACGCATACGCTTACACATCGTACAAACATGATCTAGATCTAGAGATCTAGATATTTACATCTAGATCTCGACGTCTAGATCTATGGGGATTTGGCTTTTCTTTGGGTTACATAAGTTTCAGTATTATTTTCATTAAGCTGGAGCGTATTATCAATCATCCAGTTCTTGACATCATCAATGCACATTCCCATGGTGGCAGGGGAGGTTTTAACATCTAGATCTAGTGGTGGAACAGATTTATACAACTGTTTATTATCTGCGTACATGTGATAATTCATACTCAACTGTGCTTTCTAGTCACAGCTCCAAGCGGCTGTGTATATAACGTATACTCGATTGGACCCAATAAGACGTTAATCCAGAAAGGGACTAGATCTAGATCTAGATCTAGAGGTTTCATATACTTGCACTTTTAAGAGAATCGCTTTGGATTAAAACATAACGTTAGAATCAAATAAAACACGTAAGAGCAGAGACACGCCCACTCACATGTAAACAAAAGTTTTCGCCCACTGAAAAATGGCCGCCTACAAACTCAAACGTTTCCGTGTCACGTGACCTCGTGCGGACTCTAGTATAAAAGGAGATAACTCTATGGGTGGCCCCCAGATTGGTGTTTTAAGAGCAGTAAAACTTTTACTATAACTTAAAGTAAACTAATATTGTTAATGTTGTTGTACTTATTCAAAAATATTATGTTGTCGTTTCTGTTGTTGTATAGGTTTCTGGAAGGCGCCACTAATAAATCTTGCTTATTTTCTTTCCCTTTTTATCAGCTGTCTGTAGATCTTACTCTCCATCCTTTCCCCTTCTTTGTTAAAGATATTGATACTGTTATTACTGCTTGTTTTGTTGTTGCTGTTGGTGGTGGTGGTGTTGGTAGAGGTTGTATGTGTGTGTTTGTATGAGCGTGCAGGTGTGCATGTTTGTGTCTGAGTGTGCATGCATGTGTGAATGTGTGTGTGTGTGTGTGTGTGTGTGTGTGTGTTTGTGTGTGTTTATATTTGTAGTGTGTGTGTGTGTGTATGTGCATGTGCGTGCATGCGTGCATGTGTTTGTGTGTTTAGTGTGTGTAGAGCGTGTTCATGTTTGTGTGTATGGTGTGTGTATATAATTGTGTGTGAGTGTGTGTGTGTATGTTCGTGTGTGTGTGCGTGTGTGTGAATTATTTAATTGTCCACTTTGGTTCCGTATTATGCATAATATTATACCATGTGTATTTTTGCTTCTTCAGGCGACAATGTGTCCATCATCATTGGCTCTTCAGTTAGTGCCTTTCTAGTTCTCGTTACCACCGTCATCGGTGTTTTCATCTACTGCTTGTGGAGAAAGTGAGTACACAAGATTGTCTTCCCGTGCCTGTTTTGGTCGTTTTAAAGTTTGTCTGAAAGTTTTGTTTGTTTGGATTGTGTTTGTGTGTTTTTTGTGGGTGGTTGGCGGATGCTCTGTTGTGGTTTGCTCCTTCTTTCCTATCAAACGACTATCGTCTTTATTTCTCCTCCTTTTTTATGTCTGTTACTCTCTTGTAACACCTCTAATCTTCGGCACTTAATTGACCTTTTTGTGTTGTAAGTGGCGTAAAACTCTTACTAAAAAACAAAACAAAATTTTTGGGCGGTTTCTTTTGGTTATTTGTCTCGCGGGGACGGGGCGGGGGGGGGGGGGGGGGGGGGGG